AAGAATGTACCAGATCTCTTTGGATAACTTACGATGCATATTTTTTCTTATTCCTTACTGTCCAAAGCACATTTTAAAATATGTTAGGTCTTGGCATTGTTTTGGAGTTTTGCCAAATCTTCACATGTCCATTCTTCATGGAGTTGGTGACTATTTCTGTCCCTCTTTGATGTTTATCCACACCTTCATATGTTTGAGGAAAAATATTCCATACATCCTTTCTAGAAGGCATAGTAACTCCCTTCCATTTTGGGTGGTCTTGTGGCTAAGTGTCCTTCAACTTGACTTGTAGGAGGTAGGTAGCATAGCATCTTGATTGAGGGAGCGGTTCCTCCCATCCCCGGGTCGCTCTGTTACCAAATAATTAAGAAGTACTATAGACTAATAGAAGAATTCACTAGGGGTGCGTTTGGATAAGTGTATTTTAAATGTAAGGTATTTGAAATACTAGCATTTGAAATGAATGTATTTGAAGTATTAGCATTTGAAATACATGTAATTCAAATTCATTGTTTGGATACTCATTTGTAATTTGTTTGTATTTTTGTATTTATGATTTTCATTTTTAATTTTTAATTTTCTGGTCACTTACTACAAATTTTGGTAAATTACAGTTTGGTACCCAAAATTATTTTTTCTTACAATTTAGTACCTAAACTTTTAAAATTTTACAAAAAGGTCCTGAAATTTTGATGGTAAAATTACATTTTGGTACCTTTATATGTTTTGCCTCATACTATAGTACCTAAACTTTTCATATTTTACAAATAGGTCCATTCTTTTGTTAGGAAGTATTTCAAATCACTAGTTGTTGAAATGTATTTGAAGTTGACAAAAAATACACTAGACATGTATTTGGAAATCATCCCATGAATTTGACACAAATCCAAATACCAAATGTAATTAATATCCAAACACATGATTTGGTATTTGGAAATCCAAATCACAAATACCAAATCCAAATCCTTGTATCCAAACGCACCCTAGGTTAATTTGGAAAACTCAAGCACACTTCAATCCACAAAGTTATAGTAAATTGAAAAAGGGTAAGAGGGAAGAGGTCGAGTACATGATGGAAAGGGATTGACTAAATTCAAACTCTATGGCATATTCACTTTGAGAATTGGGCTAGGCAGTCAAGTGAATGGGCTTGACTTGACCATGTATAGTTTGCTCTACCCGAATTGAATTCTAAATTCTTCTCCCGCATAGTTGCAACTGAAGAAAAGCGACAGAGAATCTGCTTTGTTTACTGGATGTAAGATCAATGTCAAAAACAAGCACAAGTACATGCAGGAAAGGTAAATCAACACAGAGATTTTTTGTTAATCGAGTTCAACCATTTTGCTTTAGTTATCGGCTCAAAGATAACTTCCACTTGAGACATAGATCTCTAGGATTTTCTTATTAGAGATTCTAACCACAAGTTGAACTCATTCGCATGTAGAGTTATAAACCGTTTCCATGCTGATGAACTCAGATTATCACTAGACTCTCTTCTCACAAACTCTGTTACATTGCTGCACTCAAACTCTCCTACACTATCTTATCACCCAATCTTAGGAAGGGCTAAACACATAGCACACTCTTAGAGCAGACATAATCCTTCACAAGTTCGCACTCAAAACGTTGCCTTCTACCAAGCTTTATTATGCTCTTTTATATCATGCTTCGCTAGTCTCCTCGAACGACTATCTTGAGATCCTGTAAAAAATGAAATTTTCTATTAGGAAATGTTTTGTGATTTCCAGGATTATGCTTCCATTTTGATTTTCTTGATCAATGTTCTTCAGAAAAGGACAGATTTGCTTAACAAGATTATTAGGTCTCAACCCTATCAACAACTAAACATATACTCAATTGAAAGGTATATTTACTAATGTTAACTTATAGAGGATTAAAAAGTGTATGTTCTTTCCAAAATCAAACAATTTGTTTTTCTTTGAGAATTATGTTGGGGGTTAAGATTATTTTGGGGCTTTGTTGTTGAAGGTTGAAAACTAGAGTTTGAATTGATCAATAATCCATATATAAAATAATGGGTTAATGCCACGTTTGGTCACTGAGTTTATTAAAACATGTCATGTTTAGTCAATAGAAAAAATTAATATCAATTGTGGTCATTCGAATTACTGAAACAGTCCACATTTAGTCACACTCCGTTAGCTTCTGTTAACAGCGTCACTTTTTTACTGACATGGCTAACAGAATTTTCTAATCAGCGTATTTTTCTAAAAAAAAAAAATTATACTCGACCTGCCACGTCATCTACCCACCCCATGACCCTACCCAATACCCATCCTCTTATTCATCTATTTGATCCGGCTTAGCCCTGCCTCTTCTACCTCACCGAACCGGAATTCATTTTTCACCCCGTCAAGATCTCCCCTGCCACAAACTCCCTGGAGCTACGACTCCCACTCCCTCATTTCCTTTACTTCATCAATCAACTCATCCCCGCCGTTCCCTCTCTTCCTCTCCCTCCACCCAATCTCCAGTCATCTCGTCTCATCACCTCAATTGGTCGCACCACGACACCACCATCCCGGTAACGGCAGAGGCGGTGGCAATGGAGATCGTTCCTTCTCCTCGAGAGATAAGCAGGATAGAATGTCGTTGTTCTCAACACGGGTGGTGATGGCGAACCTTTCCCCTCAGACTGAGCAGTCGAGTTCTAGGTTGAAATCGCTAGATCCCTTTCAGATATCCCTTCTGTTTCTCTCACCGACTTTCCTTTTCCCTAATTCTATTTGGCTTACCAGAAAGTTGTGCATCATCGAGTTTCCTTTGTCCTTGTATCACTCCAAACGAATTAAGATCAATTGATTGCATTGCTTATCAAAATGAATCTGATTTCTCCTTGCTCCTTGAAGCGTTGTTAGTTCGAGTGTTACTGATTTAGTTTGGATTTGCAAAGGAAAGGATTTGTGATGGGGCGAGGGAGGCGGCGCAGCGGTGACGGGTCCAACTTCCCCTTCCATTTTGAGTTAGGAACAGAGAAGGAGAAGGAAGAAATGAAAGAGAGGGGTTTCTCTTACGGCAGGTCCCAAACGGAAGCGGGTTTTCGCTTTCTTGTTTTTTCGTCTTCCCAAACAGAGTCTCGGCGACAATCTTGACAAGCTCCGCCAGGATTTTCCTGCTGGTTCAGGCGGGTTTGCCCGACAATATTAAACGGAAGGGGGAGGTGGGGGCGCGTGACGGTATAGATGGAGGATAAGGAAGGGAACAGATTTCGGCTCGGTGAGGAAGAAGAGGAAGTGTCGGGTCGGATCAAATAGAGGAACAAGAGGATGGATCGGGTCACGGGTTGGGGTGGGTTGATGACATGGCGGGTGAGGTTTTTTTTTTTTTGTTAAAATAGGTTGATTAGGCAATTTTGTTAGCCACATCAACACAAAACTAACGCCGTTAATAGAAGCTAACAGAGACTAAAAGACTGTGACTAAAAGTGGACTGATTCAGTAATTCAAGTGATCAAAATTTATATTAATTTTTTAAAGTGACTAAACATGACACATTTTAGTAAACTCAGTAACCAAACGTGACATTAAACCATAAATAAAATAATCTACTACATAATCTGATTAACAAATTCCCATGTTTAATTCATTTTTGTAGTACTATTATCTTAATTCATACTTTAAGTTCATAAAGTGGCTTAAATTTCCCAATTATTCTTTTCTTAATCACTAAACCAACCAAGATATACTATATCAGACCAGAAAGCAAAATCATACAACTCCAACTTACACCCCACAAAGTAGTACCAAAAAAGGGTGTTCCTTAGCTTTGGCAAAGTCGTAAAGGGGCAGTTTGGTCTTGGCAGAGGCAAAAGCTGCTTTCAACTTGATCATACGGATAAGCTTGTACTGTGTAAGTGTCCCTTTGGGGTGTCCTAAGTTGATCAAAGATGATCGGATCATCAGGCATACTTTTTCTCCTTTTACTTAATGAATAAATCCATTAGTTAATACAAATACATGCAAAAGAAGAATACTTCTGTATAACATGGGAGGAGATGACGGCCGGCAATGGTGTATGGATAGACTGAAACTAGCTTTCCCCTGTTGCCCAAGTGCGCTTCCTCTGTTTGTGTTAATATATTACGTTAATATTCTGTTTCAGTGGGGAGTGGGGGGAATGAATACCGCAACCAGCAAGCATTCAATAGAACAGCAGCAGAGCAGAGAAAAAGGTGAGAGAACAAAAGATGAGAGTTCCACTTTTGGGTGCCATTACTTAAGAGGGGAGCATCTTTAATTGCATCACACACTACCATTTGTCTCTTATTCCTCTTTTGTTGCTCTGTATTGTACCCGATATTACAAGTATCTGCAATTAGTTTATAGAAATATCGTGGTTATATGCGTGTAAACTGAAACATGCGCAGCTCATCAATGGTACTTCTACTCTTCTAGTGCTCTCTTCACGATTCGGTTATTAGGCCGATAGGAATTGTAAGTACGAGCTGACACTGTATGATCGTCGTTCCATATGATTTCGGTTGAGTGTAAAACTGAAAAAAAAGACAAATGAAGAGGCTTGGTTATTATGCCGACAGAGGGTTGTAAGTACAAGCTTCGTCTTCTCATATGATCTTAGTCATTATATGAGTAACACACTCTCTGATTGTGATCCATGTGATATCAACCGTCACCTTGGTTGTTGTAAAAGCTAAACGAAAGGGTTTAGTTATTAGTATATGATCGTCTTCTCGTATGGTCTCAAATTCCATTATCATATATATATTCTAATACATTATTATTAGCACGAGCTGACACCATCTAATCGTCTTTTCACCATAATCTAAGATCGCGTGGAGAAGACGATTATCGGCTAATACTTGCTATCATTTATCAACATACAACAGAATAGCCTAATTGAAGCAAGGCAACTAAGACAGAGAATCTTAAAGAAGAGAATTGTTTGCTGTGGCTGTGTTTTGACTTATGACTGCTGAGTAATCCAATCGGGGAGTGGTGTTCTTATTCTGATTCCCACCATGCATCAACAACACCTTCAACTACACTCCCCCAAAGATGAGTCAATTCATGCCACCCAATCAAGCAATTGGCTACTACTCCTCTCCCTTCTATAGCTTAACTACAATCACAATACAAACAATTCCACCTTTTTCTTTTGAGAAAAGAAATGTTAATGATACAAATCTTTCATCTTTCTTTATTATATGTTTTTTACTTTGTGTGGGTGGGTGGGGGCCCTCTTTGCAGTACTAATTCTCTCATCTTTATTTCTCCTTCATTGATCCTTAATGGAGGTGATTAATATTCAACTTCCTTCTTCAATTATTCCCATTCCTTCTTCTTCTTCTTCTTCCCATCATCATGGTTGCTTGCTTCTAGTCTGACATGGCTGCACTTGTATTGCAAGGTACACTTGTGTTTACCTTTGTTCAACTACTTCTTTGATATGTATGTAAATAGGCTTCTGGTTATTCAACTGGAATGGCTTTTGGTTCAATTCTTACATGTTATTCTGTCACCTGTTGCAAATCACTAGTCTGGTCTTTCTTCCCTTAGTAATAGTATACCTGTGGCATACTGTTCCATTAGCTTCTGGGGGTTCACAACTAATCTGACTTGCTTCTCATTTCAATGGGACAATTAGATGGTGGTAACGAAAGGAGGTCCATGAACATGGCTGGACCAGCTGGCTTGGGCTACTGGTGTGCTATTTGCGGGTGCCGTCACCTAAAGCTGCTTCTTAGCTGTTTTCTGCTTCTCAACTTGTTCACAACCAGCAGCTATGCATCCCAGCAGCCTGATGTTGAAGGTAAGCACCTGCACCATAGCCAGGCTTCTATGTCTCTATCTCCCCTGTTTCTTATCAGCAGCCTGAAACATTCGCCTCGTGTCAGGTGAGGCGTTGATTAAGCTTCTGAAGGCGCTGAATGACTCCAACGGCCAAATCACAGATTGGAATTACTTCTTCGTCAGCCCTTGCAACAGTTGGTCTCATGTCACCTGCAGAAATGGAAGTGTCATCTCTTTGTATGCCCACTTCTAACCATATACTTTCTTATCAGCCACTTTTGTTACTTCACAATATTGACTGCCCTTTACTGATATGCAGGAGCTTGGGTTCAATGGGATTCACTGGAACTCTTTCCCCTGAAATCACTAGGCTCAGGTCCTTGGTTAGTCTGTAAGTTGGACATAACCATTCTGCAATTACTGATTACTGTCAAAGCTTACATGATATTGCCGCCGCGACATCATACTACTTGATCTCATCTATTAAACCTGAATGGATGGATGCAGGGATTTGCAGAACAATCAACTTTCAGGTCCATTGCCTGACTACCTTGGCAACATGACCACCCTTCAGGTTCTCAACTTTGCAAACAACAGCTTCAACGGCTCCATACCAACCACCTGGGAGGACCTCTCGAGCTTAAACCGCCTGTGAGTTGTGAACCTCCATTTTCTGCTTTGTTAGCTTCTCGTTGATTATCATTTTCTCCACTAAGATTCTGCTCTGGCTTTGATCAGGGATCTTTCATCAAACCCCGCTTTGATGGGAAGCGTACCGAAGCAGCTGTTCAAAGTTGGAATCTTCAAGTTAGTTTAACTAGCTTTCACCCATTCCAATTCTGACTAACGAGAAGAAACCCCTGTTACCCGCCAAAACCTAAATATGCTTTGATCGGTATTGAATTCTGGGTTCTTTTCTTTCAGTTTTACAGCAACAGGTCTTGGATGTGGCTCTACCAAGGAACAACCTTGCCTTTCTAGCTCCTCTCTCCGAGCTGTAGCAGCAGCAGCAGCAGGTTTCTACCTACCTTCACCTCAATCATTTTCCTCATTCCTTAATGGCAGAGGATTCGAATCCAGGACTTAAAAACACTAGGCAATATTTACATGCAGCTAACAAGACCAAGCAGTCCAGGCTCAAGATCATTCTCTCAGCTTCCGCCGCCGGATTCCTACTTCTCCTCATCGGAGTTGCTTACCTGGGATGCCGATACTATCGCCTCCGCCGCCAGCTCAAACAAGACATCTTCTTCGACGTCGCCGGTACGGTCAAACCCTAACAAATCAATCCCACCTCAAAATCAACACTCTGCCATCTAATCAATCAAATTATTTACTCCATAGGCGAGGACGAGCGCAAAATCTGCTGCTTCGGGCAGCTACGGAGATTCTCCCTCCGAGAAATCCAGGTGGCGACCAACAATTTCAGCGACAACAACGTCATCGGAGCGGGAGGGTTCGGCAAGGTATACAGAGGCGTCCTCTCCCACCACGATAACAACCTTAAAGTCGCCGTCAAGCGCCTCGCCGACAACTGCAGCCCCGGCGGAGAAGCCGCCTTCCAGAGGGAGGTCCAGCTCATCAGCGTCGCCGTCCACCGGAACCTGCTCCGCCTCATCGGATTCTGCACCACCGCGACGGAGCGGATTTTGGTCTACCCTTACATGAGGAATCTCAGCGTGGCGCACCGACTGCGGGAGCTGAAGCCAGGTGAAAAGGGACTGGACTGGGCCGCGAGGAAAAAAGTGGCGCTGGGCTCGGCCCATGGGCTCAATTACCTGCACGAGCATTGTAGCCCGAAGATTATCCACCGGGATCTGAAGGCCGCGAATATTTTGCTGGATGAGGAGCTGGAGCCCGTGTTGGGTGACTTTGGGCTGGCGAAGCTGGTGGACCCGAAGATGACGCATGTTACCACTCAGGTGAGGGGCACGATGGGCCATATTGCGCCGGAGTATTTGTCCACCGGGAAGTCGTCGGAGAAGACGGATGTGTTCGGTTACGGGATCACGCTGCTGGAGCTTGTGACCGGTCAGCGCGCCATCGATCTGTCGCGGCTCGAGGAGGAAGAGGATGTTTTGCTTCTCGATCATGTGAGTATACCATCCATCACAAGCTAAACTAGTAGATGTTCAATCTTTAGTCTCATTCATTCATGTTACATAAATGGTCACTAAACTTGTGGTCACCAAATTTTATTGCTAACTGCTAAATCAGAATAAGTAACACAATAGATATTGGTACAAATTATTTTGATTAGCGTGCAATCAATGATGCAAATTATTTTAGATTTCGTGGCGAATTTGTTTTGTGAACCAAAAGTGTGTTGACTTCGATGGTACTTAACTTATCCTTACCATGACAGATCAAGAGGGTGGTACGGGAGAAACGGCTCGACGACATCGTGGACCGGAACTTGGAGCGAGACTGCGACATGAAAGAGGTTGAGAGGATGGTGCAAGTGGCGCTGCTGTGCACGCAGAGCTCGCCGGAGGAGCGGCCGACGATGGGGGAGGTGGTGAAGATGCTCGCCGGAGGAGGGGAAGGGGTGGATCTGGAAGAGCGGTGGGCCGAGTGGGAGCAGCTTGAGGATGTGAGGAACCAGCAGGAGTTCTCGATGTTGTTCGCTCACGGCCACCACTTCGCCAATTTCTGGACCGACGACTCCAGCATCGTTGACCAAGAGGCTATCCAGTTGTCCAAGCCCAGGTAGTTAAAGGAGAGCGAGTTAATTAGGGGCAAAGGGCATGAAAAAGCATTTTACCTCAAATTTAGCATATATATATACACACACTCTGGAATATTGCAGATACAATATATGTGGCTAGCAGTGATTAATTAACGGCAACATATGTGTAAGGAAGTATAGATATCAGTACGAACGCCACATTTGTCTTGTATGAGAGTACTAATTGGAGCACTAAACTGATACAGTTGCAAGCATGTAATATTGAATGGTATTTTATGTGTGCGTGCATGTTCTTGGATCCCAAGAATTAGTATATATATATTTTAGATATGAGTTGGATATGTTGATTGTATGGATTTGGCCGGTATTGGGTTTGAATGGCGATTGCTGCTCGTCCTTCTCCTAGCTAAAGTAGGGAATAAGAAACTTAGCTCAATGTGTGTAGGGGTAGGCAAACGGTTAGGTAAACCCAAATGAACCAAACCGAAACCGAATTAATGCTATTTGGTTCGGAATTCGGAAGGAAAATATGGATATTTCGAAAATTAGGGTTCTTTCAACCGAACCGAATTTTCGAATTTTCGACCGAAATACCATGCAACCTCCAAATGGTGGATTTTTATGTTTGTAGTTGTTTTTATACTTAAATATTTGAAATATTTTGTGACTTATGTGTTGAAATGTTTGATTTTATCATTGATGATGCATATAATTGCATATTTATTGTTTATATTAGGGGTGAAAAATAATTTAAAAGTGAGAAGATACAAGTAGCCTCATAAATTCGGTTTTTGGTTAAAAACCGAACCGAATTGTAATTTGGTTCGAATTCGGTTTGAGATTTGGGAGAATTCGGGGACCCGGTATTCATAATTTCGATTTGGTCGAAACCGAACCGACCGAATGCCCACCCCTATCAATGTGGTTACAAACTCTATCGTGGACTAATATCAGTTATTGGAGAATGTTGATGTTGAGGGATGAGATGAGTGAGATCAGAGGGAACACTTTAGGGATAAGAACTGACTTGAGTGGAACCAACATAGAAGTCATCGTACTTCTTAGAAAACGATGCCTTGTGAATTTTCTTAGGTACTATAGGATAATGTTTGGAAGTGGAGGATCAAAGAGGAGTAGAAGAATGTGTGGAAGGCGAGTCATCAAGATCACTATCTGAGGACTCAGATGCATAAGAAAGCAAAACAGGTGATGAATGTCATTGTGTTGTAGTAGTGGAAGAAGGAAAGACTACTAACTCATGGTCAAGAAAGGAAGGGGTTCTGAACAGGAAGAACACCCAAGACAGGAAGAAAACATTGGAGCAGAAGGAAGATCTAATTGATCTCCAACTGAAGAAGAATTGAAAATGCTTATAAGGCAAAATGTTCTCATGAAAAACAACATCTCTACTAATAAACACATGTTTAGCTGTTATGTTTAGCAATTTATACCCTTTAATACAAACAAGTAGTCTTAGAAAACACATTGTTTGGCACAAGGATCAAATTTGTGTTTATGACCCTCAACAACTGTGGCATATGCCCAACATCCAAACCCTCTAACACTCATGTAATTAGGAGGAATTTCGTGCAATAACTCCAAAGGGGTTTTGTGATTAAGAAGTGGTGTATGTGTTCTATTTATCAAGTAGGCACAACATGGAGAAATGTTCTCCAATAAAATAATGGCAAACATGACTAAAATTTCAATGACTCATTTCATGAACAATGATCTATGGCTAAAACGTTCAATTTGCCTAAAAAAAATCCAGCTTTACAAGCCCCTTTCAAAGAAAGAGAGTTTTCTCTCTACCTAGGTTAGAATGGCCAATAGATTGATAAGCAAACACACAACACAATATTTCATGAAAATACCTCCAAATTCACATTAAAACACATCCACACACCAATCATTCAATCCATACAAACATTCACATAATTGTAGCTAGGGTTTACAAACACCAAATTGAAAGAAGGGACTACTACATGCTAGGAGAAGGGAGAACACAAGGGAGAAGAAGGAAAATCATCATGGAGATGCTAGCCTTGCTACTTGTGTTGAAGAGATCTTCCTTTGGGGGAGGAATTCCCAAATCCTTGCTTGAAGATGAAACCCTAGCTTCTTCTCTTCTTTGGTTCGTCACTTTCTCACTCTAGAAATCTGAAGAAGAAGAAGAAGAAGAAGTTTCTCACACTAGATCTCTCCCCTTTTCTCCTTCAGCTCAAACCTCCTTATATACCCAGATCAGGCTCAGATCACGGTCTGAGTTCATAGCCGTGAACTGAAAGCACGGACCGTGATCTCAAGTCAAAATGAGCCGCATCACTAAGTTCAATTCACGGGTAACGACAACTGCCTTGAGTTCAGTGAGACTAAAAACTGCTCTGGACGCCTAGCGGTTCACGACTAACGACTCCAGTTCACAGTCTTAGTTAGGGGTGGAAGTTTGGGTTGCGGGTTGTGGATAATCCGCACCCCGCACCAACCCGCACCTATTGTGGGTAACCATACCCACAAGTTGCGGGTAGTGGGTTGGGTGTGGGTAGTAAAATAATGATTTTTGTGGTTAGTGGTTATCCACTATCCACCGCGGATAACCCACAAAATCAACAATAAGCACACTAATTATATTTATTTAGTGAATTAACTTTATAACATCATAGTATGTGAAAAGTGCGAGGAAAAAATTAAAGTAGCCACCAAATAAAAAAGACACACCTAATCAGTTTTATGTAAGAATTTTTTAGTTTATAAAACACTATAATCGATAGAGTGGATAATAATCAATTCATTAAAAGTGAACACCTTTTGTAACTTTTATCAGTATGTTTTTGCTTTTGTGTGAAAAAAATACAAGATCATACTTAATTGTCATATTTCACCCCTAGTCGGGGAAATATGAAATCACAGCTCTCTGGCACAAAATTTGAATACCAAACTCAAAAAGAAAAAAATCTCCACGTTGAGTAAGATCGATGTACAAAATTGTATCTCCACAAACAACACAAGTGTATACCACTATAATCTAGTTACGGACAACAAATACGTTAGAGGCGACTAGAACTCTATGCTTGCAAATATGGATTTTTGCGGGTAACAACACCCAACCCGCACAAACCCACAGTGGGTAGTGGTTACCCACTAACCACTACAGTGCGAGTTGTGGGTAGCATATATAATTGTAAATTTTTGGGTGTGGGTACCCGCAAAATGTGGGGCGAGTAACCACCCCCGCCCCAATTTCCACCCCTAGTCTTAGTGACTGTGAACTCACAGCTCCCACCGTGATATGCTTTTTCCTCCATTCTTTGACTTGATTTTTCGCCCTTTCGTCTAACTTTAGACTCTGGGGTTGGTTCCACATGCCACAGTCTGAAAAACACCAAAACGAGGCAAAACCCAGCGTAAAACCAAATCTTCCGGAGTAAAAATGTCACAAACGACTAAGAAAGTCGAGCGTAAAAAGGGTACAATTGAGCCGAATCACCCACCGTCCTAGCGGTTTACGGTTTTAGGCTTTGGTAGTCGTGAAACCGAAATTATGATAGTCGGATCAGATTTAACGGGTAAAGAAGACGAAGGGGGATGATACGGCACAGAAAAGAAGACGAAGAGGGAGGAGCGGGGTCGCCGGAGGGAGCTGAGGGTCCGAGTTGCGGGGGCGAGCGGAGGGCTTGTCTCTGTTCTGTGTGATCGGGGAAGAAGAGTAAGGGCGCGAACGGCCGAACAGGGTCGCGGAGAAGCAGGGATTCCTGGTCGGGGAGTGGAGATGTCGAGGTCTTCGCGGAGGGTCGGAAGGGGAAAGTCGATGGATGGAGGAGGGTGGAGGATGGATGGGCGAGTGATGATTTAGGGTTAGGTTTTGTTTTTATTTGCGGGATTCAGTGTCTTTTTGGCAATAATTGGGCGCAGGTCGATTAGCCGGCTCCGGTTACTCGGCTACCCGAACAGCCCCTCTCCCTTACTGACCACCGACCGAGGCATGCTAGCCATCGGTTTTTCGGCCGCTAATCGGCGGTTAGCACTTAAACCTACCATTGTAGCCACTAACCGGCAGTTATCGATAAACCAACCGGTTAGCCGCTAACTGGTGATTAGCGGTTAAACCGACCAGTTAGCCGTTAACTGAAAACCGATTAGCCACCCCTAACTATGATCATCAACCGCAGTAAAAAAAAAAAGAACAATCTTGAAATTGTATTAAGGGGCCCCAAATATAACATGAAAAAATGCAAAGGTTGAGTGCTAATAGGAGGAAATGACAATCTCTGTTGTTTTTCCAAATGGCAAACATCACAATGTTTTGTTAGAAGGCAAAACAACCTTAGTACAATTGTGCTTAACATCTCTCATTGTAGACAAAGATGGATCAGATGACCTAATATGACATGTCATATATTAAATTCTTACTGAAAATTGAAAATTCTTGTTGTAATACTTTGAGAATCTCTATCGACTTGCGCTAAACCAATCATCCTCAAAGTAATAATGTTTTGAATGACACAAAAAATGGATTTAAAGACCAATGAGATTGGATGATTTTTATTTCAAAAACCAAATTGTAAGTAAAAGAAGGAACATAAAGGACTTCAGTGAGAAACATTCCACAATGTAAATGGTTTTTCATATTTATACATATTTGGTTAAACCCGAACCGGCATAAATTGGTTGTATTCCGGTCGAATCATATCACTTGCTAAAGCTACTTAACGGTATAAAACGGTTTGACAACCTTATTATTTTCTCAAGATGGTATTTAGCAGTGTGCAATAGTTTGATCTTTACCCGACCGCAATGGACCAGACCAAACCAAACTGAATATAATGTGATCTGGTTCTTGATCCCACAATTATATAAAGGGTAAAAGCCACATTTGGTCACTAGGATACTAAATCGTGTCATGTTTAGTCACCAAAAATAATTAATATCACTTTTGTTCACTCGAGTTACTGAAACATGTCACATTTAGTCACTCTCCAGCAGATCCAATTGTCAATTGCCCAGGGGAGAAGGAGCTAAGTCTCCGCGCAACTCCGCTAATGGAGTCTGTTATGTGCAGACATAGCTAACTTGAGCGCGTAGTCAACGTTGTTTTAGGCTGAAAATGGTCAAAACCGACCCGCCACGTCACTAAACCTACCATGTCATACACCCAACCCGACCCAGAAACAAACCTGAGCCCACTTGACTAAACAAAATTGCAAAATAGATTTGGTTTGGAGCCATTTTCAGACACGAATGAACCCTAATTGTCCAAGGTACTGGAACGATGCAAATGCAGGGCTTGGTCCACCCGTCTTGCAAAACGGCGTTGAGCTTTTCGTCTTCCCTTGGATGAATCTTCCAACACAGTTAGTAGCGGGATAGTACCGGTACGCATGTCAAAATCGAAAGCTCTACCATCTATCGATTGCATGTGTTTTTACACCGTCAGTCGAGGAGGTTGCTGCATCTTGTCGCTTCGTTCAGAGTCCCTAGACAGGAAAGAATATCCACAATCAGTTTATCCGGCAGCTTTGGCCATGAATCATCACCCTCTGTCTCCGACGAAGACATTGCGATTGCTTCCATGTCGTCGGGAGGATTTTTATGGTTTCTTATCTTGTTAAATTCGGCCAACATCCCAATACAAACACGAATGAACCCTAATTTGGACACATTTTGCAGAAAAGGGAAGAGGAACAATCTAGGGAAGAAGGAGATGGATCGGGAAAAATGGCCCCTCTGTTTCTCCATTTTTAATTTTATTGGGTTGGTTCATGGGTAGGGTTGGGTGTATGACATGGCGAGTTTAGTGACGTGGTAGGTCAGGTTTGACTATTTCCGGCCCAAAACGGTGCTGACTAGGCATTCCTGTTAGCCACGTTAGCACATAACAGACTCCATTAATGGAGTTGGATGGAAACTAACGGAGAGTTACTGAATGTCACTGGTTTCAGTAATTTGAGTGATCAAAATTCATATTAATTTTTTCTAATGACTAAACGTGATACGATTTATTAATCCAGTGATAAAATGTGGTATTTAACCATTTTATAAATACAAAAATCAGAATTAACATTTGGACCTTAATCCGTTGCAGACGCCTAAATTGGTATCCATTATCCAATTATCCATCCCTAAGTAGGGATGCAAATGAGCCGAGCTACTCGCGAGCAACGCGAGGTTCGAATCGGGAAAAATTCTTCCGAAACTCGACTCGTTTATTAGCGAGCCAAGCTTGAGCTTAGCTATGTTCAGCTCGCGAAGCTAGCTCGACTCGGTGGCTTGTTGAGCTCAACTCGTGAGTTGGCTCATTTAGAGCTCATGAGATGTCTCAACATTGTGGTTTGAGGGCCAACTTGATCACCGACTTATGGACGAATCAATCTAATTTGGACTTTCATAATTCATAGGATTGTTAAATTATATATCTCACATCATGTGAAGATATATAAGATTAATTAATGTTGAATATTTGATTTTTTTTTGTGTCGTTACGTCAATCACATTTACCATACACGACATACAAAATGAATGTATCAAATACGATCTAAGAATTTAGTAAACAAGCCTAACTCGAACTCGACTCGACTCGTTAATAAATGGCTCGAGCTCGACTCGTTGATTGTGGATATTAGTTGGTATCTATTATCTGGATACTAGTTTATGATGTTTTGAGTACTAGTCTGTGTTATCTAGATTCTCAGCAGATTTGAATATTAGTTCATACATTTTGGATATTCGTTAGTATATACTAACGAATCTTCAACTTAGCAGAATAACTAGGCTGGTTGTAAGCTACCTATATTAGGTGCAAAGATGATGAATGATGTATTAACTCGAATGATGATGATACTTATGGATGATTAGTCTTATTATTATTGCTTATATAAAATGATAGTTTATGTTTGTTTTCATGTAATGTTATGTTATTTGGTTAATCCGATTATCCGATTAACCAAACCAATTAAACTTTGGTTTGGTTAATTTGGACGGTTTGGTTAAGACATTTTATTTAATGGTTAATGAAAATTAGGCTTAATTGGTTTGGTTAATTTGATTTTCGTGTTAATTTGGACGGTTTGTTTAAGTCATTTTATTTCATGGTTAATGAAATTTAGGCTTAATTGGTTTGGTTTTTACCACAGTAACCATTTGAACACGCCTACCTATCCCTAAGAGAATTTGGTGGCCCAAGGTTGCAAGGTTAGTTAATTTAAGGTATTGAACTGAATTTATCCCAGAAAGCAAAAAACAATCCCAGCGGGCAGCGGCTGTCCTCTAAAATCTAAAACCAGGCCGCCTGTTCGCGAGAGAGAGGAGGGAGACGGCGAGGGAGAAATGAGAAATCAATTTATTAACTAATTGTCATTGAGAGGATGGGGAGGAGCGTATCTCGGTCGCCGTCGTACCGGAGGAGACACTCGCCGTCCCCGGACCATCGACGTAGCAGTCGAAGAAGCAAAAGGGGCAGAACTAGTCGTTCTCCTCGTTCCAGGTAGGTCTTTCTTCCATTCCTCCTCCTAGTTGCTACTTCTCGCTCTGGTTTGGCCTCGAGCTGGAGCTTTTGCACTTCGTCTTTGGCTTCTTCGATTCTCAGAATCTTTGTTTAATTTGTAAGATTATCTTTAGGAGTAAGCTGGTTTTCAGTTCTGCAAGAAGTAATTAGGCATTCGAAATTTTCTTAGTAGGGTAAGCAAGCTTCTGCTGCTGCAAGTTCCAGTTAGCTTGAATGGTTAATTCTGTCTAGGTTCTTTCTTCTAACTGTTGGTGATTGATTTGGATTTTTTCTGTGAACTAACTTTTCTTCTGAGGAGACCTCTGTGAACTAACTATATGGCGCATTGCGTTGTTAACCCTATGCAAAATGCAGGCGCAGAAGCCCTTCGGACTCCCCAAAAAGACGCAGAAGCCGCTCACCAAGTCGCAAACGCCATAAAAGTCGATCTCCTACACAAAGGAGGCGTAGAAGACATCGTAGTAGGAGTGAATCGTCTTCTCCTTCCAAGTCTTCTTCCTCGAGTTATGAACGCAGCATCATTGCCAAGGAAAAACTGAAGAAAGAAGAGCTTGAAAAGAAGAGGTACTTACATCCTGACTGCTGCAAGCATTCTTGTATCCTGAATTTGGCCACTTCTGTCTATGAATGGTTAGGTAGAATGGTTTCGATGTTGTGGTATATACATGTTTATTCCAGTTTCGATATTCTTTTGAGGTTGGTTTGCTGCTGATAAGGAAAAAGTTCCTTATTTTCTCCTTTATATAGGGTTTAGAGTAATGTTCCTGATATGGTTTTCCCATTACAGTATTTAGGTGCATTCAGCACACTTTGTTTGGCAACATGGGATGTTTGCCTCAGAAGTACAATTCTCACAGACAAAGCTCCTAATCACTTGATAGTCCAGATAAATTACACCTTTCATGTTGGTTGTCACAATCTGTTGTAGATTTCCGACACTCACAAGTTGTTTAGCCATTAGACACTTGAGGGAACAATCGTAGTCATCGTGAGTTCATGACAGATTTTTGCTGGAACTTTTTGCAAGATTCCAAACATGGGTCAGCTGGATGTTGATTGAGCTCAGAATTTTGTAGCAAAGGTTAAGTATAGTATTGGAGTGGTGAGACGGAAATCACTGAGTGGTTCACCCTATGATTTGACCGTAGGATACAGAGCTCAAATGGTTGTGAATTCCTTCATCACCTTAAATATGCTAATTATATTCTTTGTGGTCTTGTTAGGAGCACTGTTTCGAATTACTTGCTTATTTTTCAATTGGAGAGCCGGACGACCTTGTCTGTCTGGAGACCAATGCATGACTTGCCCTTTGCTTTTGAATGAATCCACTGTATGATGCATTTAAAGAATTCACGCTTCAGGCATTTAAATAGCTTTCATAACTCTGCTGCAACGGCTGTTATCCTGTCCAATCAGGCGTGAACAAGAGGCAGAACTGAAGCGGCTGGAGGAAGAGACAGCGAGAAGAATAGAGGAGACGGTGCGGAAAAATGTAGAGGAAAAGCTGAACTCAGAGGAAGTGAAGCTAGAGATAGAGAGGAGGATAGAAGAAGGTAAGAAGAAGCTATTCGACGGTGTTGTTGCCCAACTGGAAAAGGAAAAACAAGCTGCTCTTGCTGAAGCCAGACATAAAGAGGTATGTAAGGCAACAATTCTGTGAAACTATGGCAGGAGTGAGACTTGAAGATGGGTTTCTCTTTCATAACTCAATTAGTAAACTGTTTCTTCTCTGTCAATAGGAACAAGCTCGGAGAGAGAGGGAAGAGCTTGACAAGATGCTGGAAGAGAACAAGAGGAGGGTGGAGGAAGCACAGAGAAGAGAAGCTCTAGAGCAGCAAAAGAAGGATGAGGAACGGTTCAGGGAGTTGCAGCTGTTGCAGCGGCAGAAGGAAGAGGCAATGCATAGGAAGAAGCTTGAAGAGGAAGAAGAGCGCGCGAAGGCACATTCGCTGTTGGGCAATCATCATCATAACAATAATAGAGATCATAAACCTCGTCAGTCTTTGGGATTTGGTTCATGACTAGTTCGTTTTGACTTCATTGCTGAATCACAAGTACAATTGTTCTGCAGAAAATGTGATCCATGGGCCCATTGGAAACAAAGGGGGAAATGGTAGATGTGTATCCCGCCACCTACCTTTGGTTTTTAGGGAAGGATCCAGTTAGACCACCAAACTTCAGGAAATTGTGTAATATTATGATTATTATTTTCAGTGGAAGCAAGAAATCAAATGGGAAACATGGGTGTGATTATTATTATGTGTTCATTATTTAACGCCATCATAGAGGTGAAGTATACAAGTAGCTCGAAAAGTCCCATCATTCTTTTGAAAATTTTGAGCCCAAGCAAGCAAAGCAAGAAGTGTGTAGCTTTTCTTTTATCACTTACCCACCAATCATGGTTGCTTGTTGCACAAGACCAAGTTGTCAATCAAAACTATGGGAGCATTTGAGGTGTACAAGCAAGAAATGTGTTGGAATGGTAGGAAATTTATGATAAATTTGGGGTTGATAAGTTAGGCGGATGAATTACGATTTTCAATCAATCCATTTGTAAAATTGTTTGCTTTTTTAGGGAAAATTGTTTCTTCTTGTGGTTTGGGGTAATAATATACATTATCTATACTAATTTGATTATTACACCATTTTTTTGGTTGAGATTATCATACCATTGATAATAGTAAAATCAAGTGGAACCTCAACCACACAACCTGTTTTTAGATATCAATTGTTGTTATAAAGTAAATGAAGCGAGAAAGTCCTAAACAATACATGAAATCGAATGGCACCTCAACTACAAAATCCATTTTTAAATATCAGCTTCTGAGTATTAGTTTGGTCGCATATTGCACTACTATCACATACCTACTCACTCATGAGAACAGTGTCTGTCGATCCATCAGCAATGACCACTAGGGATGTTAGGGGTAGGCTTGACAACGGTCCGGATCGGGGCCGGGGAGGGCCTATCCGCCGCCCGCCCAAAAGCCTGTCAGGCTTTTCCCGAATCCGCTCCACTAGCCCTGTCGGGCTCATATTCAGACCCAACCCCGGATCCATCGGGTGCCGGGCTACAATCCAGGTTAACGGGTTTACCCGCTAACACTCTCAGCCTAGAAAAAACCAAAACAAAATACAAAATACAAAGAATACAACCTGCAAATTACTAAGAGAAAAATCAAAAGTCAAGACTCCAATTCCAATTTTCAAAATTCAAACTGCCTAAACAAATAAAAAAAGGATCAAGGCATCCAAATGATGCATACCACCAATCGAAACAAACAAGTTCCCAAAATTCAATCCAAGGTTTTGAAACAAAGTAGCAAACCACCAGTCCACCAAAAACAGGGGGGAAAACTTAGAGAAAATGAGCAGAACCATCAAGGCATCAAGTGATCTTCATTCTTCAGGGCATCACCATTCACCATCAAGCTCAACATTCAACAACAGCAACTCTCCAGCAAGCAGCAGCAACCCAATGCTTGATATTCAAACATCAAAGTCTAGGAGTGCATGATCGTGAAAATATGTGAAATCATACAAATTATCAGCAGGCAACAGTAGTCACTATCTTGAAATTACTGAGCTAATTGTTCAGTATTCACTAACCTCCTTTCTTAAAGTGTTCACAACTTGGATCCTCCATTGTCAACGCAGAGAAGCAGCTTTCCAATCCATTAATCCCATCCTTTCCAGCATCTGCAGACAAAAGAAAAGAGAGTTGAGTTAGTTAATTTCACAATGTAGTTGAACCACAAACAGGGTTGAAACAATTAAATAAAGCCTTTACCTTTGCTTATATCATCCTTAATCCAGGTACGGGTGCACATGATTGCCTAAACAGTTTCAAAGTGCAGCCTACTCCAGTGAGGATCTAGCAGCCTGCCACCAGAGTTTAAGGCTGACTCTGAGGCCACAAAGGTCACTGGTACAACAAGCAAATCTCTTGCTACCTCTTGCAACAGAGGGTATTTTCCGGCATTCACCCTCCACCAATCCAAAACACCAACATTAGGAGCTCTAAGACTGACACCCTTACTCAGATAATGGTCCAATTCAGAGCACTGTGAAGTTGTTTTTGGACCTTTTCCTTTGGCTTAGATAAAGCTAAAAGCCAAGGTCGCTCGAGGTAGGAGCAAAAAGACCATCACTAGAACCAAAGGAGGCATAAAGGTCATCCCTAGCCCTCTATTTCAACTAATACTCACAAACCACATTATAAATAGTGGCCTTAACAGTCTCTGACCCAAGAGTAGAATCAAGGCTTTGAAACTTTTCATAATAGTACTCAATCAACTCAAGCTTGTATGTAGGATCAAGAACAACAACCACAATAAGCAACACATGAATATCAGTCCAGTATTTGCTGGACTTGATCCACATTTTTTCAGTCATTGCACTAATGATCTCATCAGGACCAAATCTCCACTCATTCAGTTCGAATTTCAAATCACAGATCTTTGGAAAGAACAAATTGGCAGTAGGATAATTGCTTCCAGAAAACATAACATAAAGTTTTTTGAAACCACAAGCTTTTTGGAGATAACAGTGGCAAACTTCCAATCATCACTGTTAGGCAAGGAAGTATAGTTAGGTTCTCTCTGACTCAAATGAGTGAACACATCCTTGTATGGAATTGCAGATTCAAGCATAATGAGTGTGGAATTCCACCTACTAGGGCAATCTAGTGCAAGTTTGGTAGAAATACCAACATCTTTTTGCTTAGCAGTCTCATCAAAGAGCTCAACTCTCCTTGGAGTTGCAGTCCAATATACCACACTTTCTCTAATCTTTTCAATCCCATCTTTCACAATTAAGTTGAGAATATGAGCAGAGCATCTCATTTGCAGCAATGAACCATTCATTATGAAGTCAGAAAGAACCATCTTTCTCTTAATCTTATCAATCATGGCATCATTTGTAGAACAATTGTCAAGAGTGATAGTGGATAACTTACAATCCACATTCCAAGACATGAGGGCCTCTCGAAGTACACTTGCTAATTTCTCATTAGTATGAGGGGCAGGAACATAGAGAAACTTGTGATACACAACATCAAACAAGAGGCAGACCAAAATAAATAGTTAGTGGTTAAACAAATAAGCAAAGAAACTGAAAGTACAAAATTGAGTCAAACAACCATATACCTTAGCAAGTGGCTCCTAAGGTTCCACTGATTGTCAACATAATGAGAAGTTACACTCATGTAAGCCCTCTTTTTATTACCTGTTGTCCACATGTCAGTGGTGACTGCAATTCAACCTTTGTTACCATCAATCATCTTTTGCATCTTTTTTCCTCTCAATCGCATACATTGCAAGAATATCACTCTTACAAGTGTTTCTACAAGGAACTTTGAACAAGGGTTGAAGAGAATTACAGAAGATTTTGAAGTACAAGTGACCCACCTTACCAAGTGGATACTCATGCATCAAAATCATAGTGACAAGTTCCTTTCTAAAAACCTCTGCATTAAACTGACTAGTACAGATTTCTTTCCTCCCAAGAACACCATTAGGAAGGAAAGGGACGGGATACGGTGACAACCCCTAAGGGGGTTGTCAGATTGACAACCAAGGGCATTTTGGGTATGAAAAAAAGAAATATATTAATTACCTTTTTTGTATTAATTATATTGGGAATTAAAAACCCATATTAAATACAATTTTTGAAATTTAAATCCTATAAATTAATATCTCTATCTATCTCTCTCTCTTCCTTTTTCCAGCGGCCACTCCGCATCGACGGACAGACTTTTTCTCCGGCGAATTCTCTCCGGCAGACTCCCTCCGGCAACCTGAAAAAATGTACCAGTGCGTTAAAAAGTGTATCAATCCATTAGTCTACTGGTAATTAATATACCAGTGCTAGTGGTACGCTACCAGTGCGTTAAAACATGTACCAGTGCTAGTGGTACGCTACCAGTACAGCGCTACCACTACCATATTGTATCGAACCACTAGCACTGGTAGCGCTACCAGTGCTACCAGTGCTAGTGGTACGCTACCAGTACAGCGCTACCACTACCATATTGTATCGAACCACTAGCACTGGTAGCGTACCACTAACATTGGTAGCGGTACCAGTAGAGAATAACACAAAAAAAAACATATGATAGTGGTACCAGATGATAGTGGTATGCTACCACTACCAGCTACCTTATGGTAGTGGTAGGTACCACTATCACTGGTACGCTACCAGAAGAAAAATGGTACCTCTAAAAAACCAGATCTAGAAAAGGGCAGTTGGCGACGGGAGAGAGAGGCAGAGGGGAGAGGGTTACCTCGCGACGGTGGCAGTGGTGGGGGAGGAAGGGGAGAGGATGATTGTGCCGCGGTGGGCCGGCGGGAGAGATTTGCAACAACAGGGTGTGGAGGGAGGCTGAGGATGGCGGAGACGGCGGCGGTAGAAGGCTCGACAGGCGGCTGCAGAAGACAGGGGCGCCGACGCCGACGGTGGAGGGCTGTGGCAGCGGACGGCTCTGCGGGAGAGAGGGAGGAGAGACGGAGGAGAGAGAGAGAGAGAGGGATGATGGATGGAGGAGTTAGGGTTTTTTACTATTTATATGGTAGGGTGATGATTGGGTGTGGTAAATTTTCACCCTTCCAAAAATACCCTTCCTTTAATCTTAACCGTTAATTTGAGAAAAGAAGAAAGAGACAGGAGAGAGAGCGTATCCAAGGGCTATGAAGTGGGTTGTGAATCTGACAACCCCTTAATAGGTTGTCACCGTATCTCGTCCCGGAAGGAAATTAGTGGCAATATTTTTCTGATGACCATCGTGAATCTATTTTTGAACACACGCCTTTTTATGATTTCTCAAATGAGAGCTACCATTGTTAGTATCACCACCAAGAACCTTACGACAATACTTGCATCGAGCTTTCATCACACCACCCTTATCCAAAAACCTAGTACATTGAGGCAAAACATCACTTTTTAGTGGACGTTTGGCCCCAAATGGAAGCGGAGAAAGCTCACCATCATTGACTGGTGCATCACCAGTAGCTGCAGCAACATTGCCATCATTCACAGCACCTGTTGTTGCATCACCAGCAATCAAAGGTTGTTGCTGCTGGGGTTCAGGGTTCATGGGTGGGGGTGTGGATTGAGTGTTGGGAGAGTTACTGAATTCAACACCTTCCATTGCTTCACCTGTTCATCAATCACGAAAAAGCAAACCAATCAAGGCTACATCAACTGAAACTAAGAACTAATGACTAATACTAATAAGACTCCAAACTATAGAATCGAGTAATTACCTTCGTGAATCGTGAAT